ATATTCCTTTCTCTTGAGGAGGAAAAGCCAACACAGTGAAAACAGTTATACTTCCAATTGCTACACAGATTTAATGTAATCCCGATCAAAATTCCACAGCGTATCTGACAGAACTGCAAAAAATAATCTTAAAATTCATTTGGAACCAGAAGAAACCTAAAAGAGCAAAGGCAATTCTGGGCAACAAGGCAAGGAAGGGAGCATCACAATCCTTGACTTGAAATTATACTACAAAGCTACTGTGATGAAAACAGCATGGTACAAAAACATAAAACCATACCTGAGGATCAGTGGAATAAATTAGATAATGTAGATACAACTCCAAACATTCTTTGGACATTCTCCATACATTCTAACGTCAAAGGCCTTATCTTTGACAAAGGTGCCAAATACCTTCACTAGAAGAAAGAGAGCCTCTTTAATAAATGGTGCTGGAAAAACTGGTGTTCCACATGCCAAAGACTAAAACTGAATCCATTATCTGTTATCATGCACTAAACCAGAATAAAAATGGATCAAATATGTAAATATTGAAACAGCAACAGTAAATCTGCTAGAAGACAAAATAGGCAGAACTCTCAAACACACTGGTAAAGGCAAAGACTTTACGAATGAAACACTGCTTGCACAGGAATTATCACAAAGAATCAACAACTGGGATTTTACTGTACTAAAAAGCTTTCACACATCAAGAGAAACCACCAAAGAAGTGAACAGACAACAAACTGTGGGAAAAAAATTTTGCCAGTTGTTCCTCAAAGGACTACTATCTAGATTATATAAGGTAGTTAAAAAAAAAAAAAAAATCCACCCAAATTAAGACCCAAAAGCAGATATGGCAAATAAATATACTGGTCATTTGAGAAATGCAAATTAAAACGATACTCAAATTCTATCTCACCCCAGAAAGAATGGGTATCATCAAGAAATCAACCAATAACAAATGATGGAGGGATTGTGGAGGGGGGGCCCTTCTCTGCAGTTGGTGGGAGTGTAGACTGGTACAACCACTGTGGAAATCAGTGTGGACATTCCTGAAAAATCTAGGACTAGAGGTTCATTCAACAGAACTATTCTCCTTTTTGGTATCTTCCCCAAAGAATTAAAAACACCAAATAAATAAATAGAATTAAAAGCATCACAACACAGTGCTACATGCATACCCATGTTTAGAGCAGCACAGTACATAATAGCTAAGTCTTGGGAACAGCCCAAATGCCCATTAACTGATGAATGAATAAAGGCTTTTTAAAAAATATACAATGGAATGCTTCCAGCA